TGTATGTATTTGTGTATATCTGTATGCATCTGTGTGTATCTGTATCTGTGTGCATCTGTATGTATCTGTGTGTATCTGTATCTGTGTGCATCTGTATGCATCTGTATGTATTTGTATGCACCTGTGTGCATCTGTATGTATTTGTGTGTATCTGTATGCATCTGGGTGTATCTGTATCTGTGTGCATCTGTATGCATCTGTATCTGTGTGTATCTGTGTGCATCTGTATGTATTTGTATGCATCTGTGTGCATCTGTATGTATCTGTGTGCATCTGTGAGCATCTGTGTGCATCTGTATGTATCTGTGTGTATCTGTATCTGTGTGCATCTGTGTGCAGCTGTATGCATCTGTGTGCATCTGTATGTATCTGTGTGCATCTGTATGAATCTGTGAGCATCTGTGTGTATCTGTGTGCATCTGTATGCATCTGTGTGCATCTGTGTGCATCTGTATGTATCTGTGAGCATCTGTGTGTATCTGTGTGCATCTGTATCTGTGAGCATCTGTGTGCATCTGTATGCACCTGTGAGCATCTGTGTGCATCTGTATGCATCTGTGAGCATCTGTGTGTATCTGTGTGCATCTGTGTGCATCTGTATGCATCTGTGTGTATCTGTGTGCATCTGTGTACACTGGTATGTATCTGTGAGCATCTGTATGCATCTGTGTGTATCTGTGTGCATCTGTATGTATCTGTGAGCATCTGTATGTATCTGTGTGCATCTGTCTGGTCGACACACACATTCTGTCCTTGACACACCCTTATCGACTGGTCTCAGCTGCCTTTGCAGAAGGGGAGGCACCGGCCTTCTCCCGTGGTTTTGCTTTCTTTTGCAGGATTAACTTTCTAACCTAAGTGCGTGGCCAGGTATAGTTTCCCACAGAGAGACACACCACACCCCGAGGGGGATGGTGACACGGAGGATGAGAGGGGCTGAAGGACTGACTTGAGGTGAAAAGCAGATCCTTGGCGGGGGGGGCACATAAAGACCTTCCCATTCTTGCCCTGGAACAGGCTGATGGCCCAGAAGCATCCCAGGCAGACAGGACACCTTGATAAGAAGACCCCTTGGTTCTAGGCCAGGCTCTGGGCCTTTCTCCCTGGGGCAGGCGGCTGCAAGCTGTCTGAGGTGGGGCTGGGTGAGTCTGGAACTTAGGCAAAAGTAGGGAAAGGGGACCTAGCAGTGAATTGTTGGGGTCCAAGCTGGACGGGCTCCTAGAGAACACCTAGACTAGTGTCCCCCCCAAAAACTTGTGGGGGTCTTGGATGGCTGCCCTGAATCAGGCACTGTCAGGTAGATTCCGACTCACAGTGACCCAGCGAGTGCCTGGCGTGAATGCTCCGGAGGACTCTCAGTGGCTGTGGCCTTTTGCAAGTAAATCACCAGGCCTTTCTTCCGTGTGACCCTGGGGGTGGATGTCCCCCTGCTGGCCTTCTGGTGAGCAGCAGGGGGTTTCACCACTGGGCACCCTGGGACCTCAGGGCGGTGCCCTATGCAGCTGGAAGGGTGCGGAGAAGCCGCAGAGAGGCCGCCACTCTGCTGGCAGTCTGAGACATCGGACTGGGCCAGGACCAGTCTGCTCCCGCATAGTTCCCTCACACCCCTGACTGATTGGCGTGGCAACACAGACTGCAGGGTTCATTCAGCCTGGGAACCTTGGCAGGCACTCAGCCTACACACACTCACAATGCTCTCAGTAGATTCCACTCTGTCAGCCTCTAGTTAAAAGTGATATTCATTCCCCGTCAAGGCAATGATGTTGTTGCCTTTTTGAAATTAACTCAGCGACCCTGCTGGGTCTCCGAGGCTGGGACCGTTTGGTTTACAGGAGCAGAAAGCCCCGTCTATCTCCCTCGGGGCCACTGATGGCTTTTGAACTACTGACCACAGGGACCGGAGCCTGACGTGTAACCATGACACCGCCAGGGCCCTGTGGAAAAGGAATAGTAAGTCAAAGACAGTGCCGGGGAAACCAAACCACCACAGGGCACCGGTACCCGCAGGCGCTGCTCTGGGCCCTGCCCAGATGCCCAGAGGGCAAACACCGAGGCCTGGGCCTAGCAGACCGCTCCTGGCTCCTGGATTCTGGCGGTGGCTTTGGCGGCAGGTTTCCGTGTCCCCGCCACGACATACCTGGCCCCAGACGAGCTCTCCCAGCCCGATGAAGATGCACCACATCCACTGGTCCAGCTGCAGCGGTGAGCAGCTGAACGGCTTGCCCCCGAACTGCACGATCACGATCTGGAGGTCAGAGGGCAGCGGAGAGGGGCCAGGGGTCAGAGGCCCCGCGGGCATCCCTCACAGCCGCGAGGGCGGGCGACGGGGTTCGGGGCGCGGGGCGGCGCGCTACCTGGATGGCGAAGGTGCCCAGGACGATGGTGCAGAAGATGGGGTTGCGGAAGATGCCTTCGAAGACGTTGCGCTCGCCGTGGATCTTGCGGGCGTTGATCTCGTTGAAGAGCTGCATCATGACGAAGGTGTTGAAGATGATGGTGTAGTGCTCCGAGGGCGGCGAGTGCAGCGGCGCGTTCCTCCCGCTGTCGATCTGGAACATCTTCTCGCCTGACAAGCCAGGGGGCGGGGCTGTGCTGGGGCCAGCTTGCACCAGGAGGGGTGGTGGGAGTGGGAGAAGGGCCTTGGGCCAGCTGTCGCCCTCGAGGGCTGTGGACATAGGGCAAAGGCAGGCACCAGGCATGCTCCCAGGTCACGTGGCCGGCTAAGGCGGGGCCCCTGACCGACAAACCCCCCTGGGGCTGGGAGGACAGGGCATGAACCAGGAACGCTGCGTGCAAAGCCGGCTTTGGGCTCCCCATAAAGGGCTGGCTCTGGCTGCTGGGTGTGGCCCGGTTGGGACCCCAGGAAGGTCAAGCAAGGGCTGTTGCAGGAGCAGCTGAATGCCTGCAATGAGTGTGGGGCTTGCAGGCCAAGCTGCCCCCGCCTCCACCCTCACCTCGGCCCCTCCACACAGAGCTGTGCTGAGGGCAGGGTGGCCCCTGGGCTGCAGCGTGGACAACTGCCTGGCCAGGCCCCCTTCTGCAAAGTCGAGTGACCTGGTTTGGGGAGGGCTTGTGAGGTTTTCTGAGGATTGTGGTGACTGGGGACCCCAGCACCTGACCCGGGGACTCTCCCTCTGCCCCCTCTCCCCAGTGCCCCCTGCAGTGGCTTCTCTGCCACCTCTAGTCTGGCTCCCTGCCAGGCTTTTCAAGGTCACATTCACAATGGTTCTACGTTTCACTTCCAGCACTTCTGCAGAAAGAACGTGCCCCGTGCCCGTGCCTGACTGCCACCTAGGCCCTGAGGGTAGCTGCCTGTGGTGTTGAAAGTGTAACTTGAGGCACTGGGGGAAACAGGCGAGGCTTGAGGGCCATGTTGGGACGGTGCCCTGGCCTTGGCCTGCTGTGTGACCATGGGCTGGCCCCTTCCCCTCTCTGTAGCCTGCTTCCTCGTCTGAGACCAGGGGGAAGCTGTACCTGGGTCATCTCTGAGCATCTGCCTGAAGCCAGGGGACCTGGCTTCTTTGCACCTCTGGTCCCATGACCTGGGTGCCTCTGGGCAGGCCCTCACCTCTCTGCCTTGCCCCCTCCTTATTGTGGGGTGAGGCCCGACAAGGTGGCACACAGGAGTGCCCAGCGGGTGCAGCTGGTGTTACGCAACTGAGCGGTGTTTCTCCAAGCAGTCTCCATGAGAAGGTGCTGGGCTGGGCCAGAGGAGGTGAGTGCCACCCGCCTCAGAGCCTTGGGATCCTGACAGGGGCCGTGATACCTGTGGCTTACCTGAGAGACACGCAGATAGAGCTGCGCAAACCATGGATCTCAGTGGCAGGGGGGCTGCCTCCTCACTAGTGACCAGGCGCGGACTTTGCCGGCTGCCAGACTCAGAACGGGGAGGCCCTGGCTTTGCCCCTGACCCTCTGGGTGGCCTTGACCTCCCTGAGCTTCCACTCCCCCTGGGGGCCAGACAGCAGTCTGCCTGTGAGCGCAGAATGCCGGGTGGGGACTCACCCACAAAGAGCAGCGTGAATATGAGGGTGAGCTGGTAGACGGCATGACCCAGGATGTTCTTCATCATGGTGCGCGAGATCAGGGGCTTGTTTCGGCCGTACGGCTTCCGGAGAAGCAGGGTCTCCGTGGGCGGCTCCGTGGCCAGTGCCAGCGAGGCGAACGTGTCCATGATGAGGTTCACCCAGAGCATCTGCACGGCCTTCAGGGGTGAGTCCTGGGGACGGTGGGCATGCAGGGTGCTGTCACAGCCGGCCACCCCTCCTCCCACCGCATACAGACAGAGACGGCTGGAAGTCTTAGGCTGGCGCTGCCAGCCAGGGCCCTGAGTGCACAGGGGGAGGTGTCTGACAAGCAGCCCAGGTCTGACCACCTCACCTTGTCTTCCCTTCGGAGGAGAACATTGAGCCCTCCAGGCCTGTTGGCCGTCTGTCTCTCTTCCTCCCCAGCAGCCTCTGTGGCCGGGATGCCCTCCCTGCCCCTCAGCGTGAGCATCACCCATCAGTCCCTCTTTCCCAGCTTTACTCTCTCCGGCTGATACCTCCATGCCTGCAACTCCCAGTGCCCCAAGTCTCTCTGTCCTAAACACCCCATGCCCATGACCCCCTCCTACCCCCTCCTCATCACCACCCCCTTCTCTACTCTTGCCATCCCACCTTACTGAATAAAAAATGTTTACGTATGAGGGTCAGTCAGAGGGCATTGCTACACAGCCATGGACACCTCGATCCAATACACGTATCAATGAGAAGCTGTCATTTCTCGACACGCCCTCTTGTCTGCGTCTTAAAACGAGGACAGACTTTATTGTGATTCGGAGCTGGGGGGGATGGTGGGCCGGTAAGGTTCATGGGGGAGGGAGAATCCAATTTCTGTTCAACGATTGGGACACCTGTTGTTTCCTGTCCTGGAATTCCATCCTCAGAGTGTAGCAGCGTCCTTCCCCGGGGTTTCTGCTTCCATCCCACCTCCTCTCCTAATCCTCCCTGTCTTCTGCGTTGTGTCCCTGGGGCAAATCTAGATCGGGAACAATTGAATGTGGGCTGTCTGTTGTTGGGCTGAAAAATTGGACCTCATACCCACAGGCTGGGGGGTGGGGGTGGAGGGAGCTGTGACTAAGGGGTTCTGTTTGTCTCCATCAGGCCAGCACGCCTGGTCTTCATCACAGTTGTGAGTTTTGCCCCACATGTTCCTCCCACTCTTTCCAGGCCTTCTCCTGGGCCTCCTTTCGTGTGGATGGCAGTGCTGGCTGGGCACCTGGCTGGGCACCGTCTGGTGCTTCTGGTCTCAGGGGCCTGGAGGCTCAGGCTGGTGTCTGTTTGTCTTGGGACTTCCTTCATTCTTCTTGGCTCCCGAAGGGGAAAGATCAATTGTTGCACCTTCGGGTGAAAACCCCTGAAGGTTTGCTACTCCCCCAAGGCGGCTGGATGGAAAACACTGTCTTGGGGATCTTTGCCACCAGGCCCAGGGCTCGTTCCCTAGAGGTGGTCAGTGAGGTCTAAGAAGGCTTCATGGCTTTACCTCCCGTGTGCTCTGTGACGTTTGTGGTTGTGTTTGCGGGACATGTGAACACACACATAGAAGTCCTCTATCCACCCATATGCCTTTGTGGGTGTGGGCCCCCATCCTTCCCACACCTGTCCAGCTCGCAGGCTGTGACCACTCCCAGGTGATGGTTGTGACCGTTGTTGTAGGGCCAAGTACAGAGCAGTATCAAGGTGGCTGCCTTTAACTCTTGGACACCCCTCAGTTTCTTCCTGTGCCGATCTTCTTATGGTCTAATGCCTCCTCCTGCATCCAAGCCAACACGTGCAGTGTACACCCTCCGGTGACCGTCTGAGCCTAGCAACCAGCAGGAGACATTTCTGTTTGTGTGTGAACCCAGTCCTGGGACTGTGGGCCACCCGGGACTGCTATTTCCAACTTTTCAAGGGAGTGTCACCCCAGTGGGTGTACCATGTTACAGCTGCTCCCACCCCACCGCGCCCGTCTCCCAGCAGTGTTTGAGGGTTCCCGTCTCTTCACACCTCACAAGCATTGGCTGTTTTCTGAGTTTTGGTCTGTGCTATCGATGCTGGAGGGAGCCCAGGTGGCACAGCCGGTGGGACACGGGGCAGATCACCAGGAGGTGGGTGGTTGGAGCCCACCAGCTGCTCCTCGGGAGGAGGAGCAGGAGAGTCACAGGTCCAGCAGGGTCACTGAGCCGGAATCAACTCGACGTCAGTTTTTGTTTTGTTTTGTTTTTTCCTCCCGAGTTGATGCTGCCGTGAGGTGATGATATCTTATTGCTTTGATGTGCATATCTTTAATGACTAATGACCCGGAGCGTTTCTTCCCATTTGTTGGCCACCTGAATGTCTTCTTCGGTGGAGTGTCTCCTGCCCCTGTGTAAACTGGATCGTCTGTCTTTTTGTGTGTGGATGCTTTATGGAAGCTTTAGAGCAGTGGTTCTCAAGCTGTGGGTCGTGACCCCTTTTGGGGGGGTTCAACCACCCTTTCACAGGGGTCTCCCGATTCATAACAGTAGCAAAATGACAGTGATGAAGCAGTAAAAAAATGTGATGGTTGGGGGGTCACCACAACATGAGGAACTGCATGAAAGGGTCTTGGCATTAGGAAGGTGGAGAACCCCTGCTGTAGAGACTAATCCTGTGTCCAATATGCCCTGGCCACAATCCCCCCGCCCCCCCCCCACAATCTGTGGATTCTCTTTCCACTCTCCTGGTGAAGTCCTTTGTCTCAGGAGGCCCTGGTCCTCTGGTTTGTGCAGCTTGAGTCCTGCCTAATAGCAGGGATGGGGCACACCTGGCCACGAGGGCCTGTGAGGCCATCCGTACCAGCTAACAGCACACGCCTCCATCATGTGATGGGGAGATCATGAACTGTGTAACCAATGTGGCCTGAGAGGAATGTGATAAATATCCAGATGGCCCGTGGTGGGGCGGAGGCTCCCACCCCTGCTTTAGGGTGTACTGATGTGGTGTTGGAGGTCCCTAAGTTTGTCCCCGTTTTTTATAGTTTCAGATTTTATACTGAGGTCTCTGACCCGTTTTGAACGTGTTTTTTTTTTTTTTTTTTAAATAGCACATCTGGAGTGCAATGGATAAGCCTCGCCCTGGGAAAACCACCTTCGTGATCATGGTATCTCCCCTGCCAGGTAAGTATTTGAACGTGTTCTACGTCCTGTGAGCCTTTGGGGTTTTCTGTGTGGGGTCCTGTTATCTGCCAACAGCGGTCACTGAACTCCTTCTTTGCCAACCGGGTGCCTTCATCTCCCTTTCCTGCCTCATGGTGGGCTCCCCAGTACGAGACTGAGGAGGGGTGGCCACAAAGGGCATCCTGTCCAGCTCCCATTTCAATCCTTTTCCCAGAGACAGATCTTGCCCCTTGGTTTTGTCTGCCGTGGTTGCTAGGCGCCATCAAGCTAGTTGGACTCGTGAACCGCCGCCTGGCCGCACCATCCTCACAAGTGCTTTTTGTTGAGTCCAAGCAGGATGCCCTTCCCCAGGGACTGGCCTCTCCTGATCACGTAGTCTCGCTGTCCTGGCCTCTAAGGAGCATGCTGGCTGCACTTCTTCCAAGACAGGGCTGATTGTTCTTTCTAATTAAAGGATCATTTTATAGGGGGCTCTTACAACTCTTGGAACAATCCGTACCTCAATTGTATCAGGCATATTTGTGCAGATGTTACATTTCCTTTCTATCACCTGCTGCTTCTTTGAGTAGCCCACGGCACTTTCCACGTTCTGGCCCGCACCATCGTTCCAATGCATGGATTCACCTCTGAGCCCCTTGTTCAAGATTCAATTTTCCCACGTGTGAGGTGATTTGAAACCTCATGGCTGGGGTGGGGCACACCTGGAGTCCTCAAAAAACAAAAAACGTCCTTGCCTTTCCACACTCTAAAGAGGCCTTGCACAGCAGATCTACCCAGTACAATGCACCCTGGGATCTCTTGACTTCTGTTTCCATGGGTACTGATGGCTGCTTTTGTATATATGCCCTTAATTATGTTTGGAAATCGCCCTCCTATTTATGTAGAGTGTTTTCATCAGGAAAGGGTGTTGGATTTTATCAGATGCCTTTTCTGCACTGCTGGATGCGATCCTGTGGTGGAGCTCGTTTTCTTTAGGTGGGATACATTGTTTCTCTATGTTGAACCATCTTTTCGTACCTGGTGTGAGTTCCTCTTCTGGTTCGCTGGATTCTATTGGCTGGGCTTTTGGTGAGATTTGCTGGGTCTGTGCTCAGGAGGCTGTGGTCCTACGAGTTCCCGTTTAGTGAGGGCTTTGCTTGTTTCCATAGGAGGGTTATCTCGCTTCATAAAGTGAATCCAAGCATATTCCCTCCTTGTTCCACATTCTGGAATCATTTGAGTAGGAGTGTTGTCAACTCTTCTCTGAAAGCTCAGTAGAAATCACCAGTGAAGCCGGGATGTTTTCCTTGGGAGTTTTTTTTTTTTAATAACTTGTTCTATTTTTCCTTTGCTATAAATCTACTCAAATGCTTTCTCCTGTACACAGCCCATTGATGGATCATATTTTGCTATTCATTCTATTGTTTATTGACTACATTAACCATTTGCATTATTGTAATAATTGATAGATATGAACTTCTTGTTTCTCTATCTCATGTGTGTATGTGTGCGCATGTGCGACTTCTCATTTCTTTGTCCACATAATTTTCTGTGCCCGGTCCATTTAATCTACGGGTTTTCTTATCATCTCCTTGCTACTGTTGTTTTAGTATTTATTAAATCTTTATGATTTTCCTTTTTGTTTCGATGATAAGGTTTATCAGTTGTCTTTGAGGCTACCCTGTCAGTTTTTCTTTTCTCTCCAGGTTTAGAGCAGCCTCTTCTATCTTGAGACTCTCTGGCCTTCCTGTCCCTGTGGAAGCTCGGTGTGCCCACTGCTTATCTCTTCCGTTTCTCTGGAGATGCCCTTGATTACACGCTGCTGTCTCTGGTTCGCTGTTTACAGCCTTGGAACGTTTACTTCTGATCCCCTTCGTTATGCTGTCCTTGGGAGTGGAGGGTTCCAGGATGGTCATCTATATTGGTTTGGTTTCTCGTGTCTTTGTTCTGAGAATTTGTCTGGGGAGCTTGTCTGCCTAGTCTGCCATCTTGCCAGCAGTCCCCACACTCAGGTCTATGCAATTCTGAAAGCAGAGCTTCCATCACCCTTCCCTGAGGAATTCTGTGTCAAAACGGTAGTTTCAGCATTCTTAAGGGACTCTGTGGCAGTTGCATGAACTCCTGTCAACTTGCAAGGGTAGTTTAGCCTATGAATCAGGTCGCAGCTTGATGACTCCATTTGGAGGCAGGAAGGGGATAAATAGGCCAGATCCACACTCTGCTGCTGGTCTTCCGCTGCTGACAAGCCAGATGGAGTGACACTGATGGAGCTAGAGCCCTGGAGCTGGAGGAGCCACGTGGAGACCAGTGCTGAGATGCTTCCACCGCCAGTGGACCTACAAGACTTTCTGCCCACTGGTCTGTGATTTTCCTGCACTCAACGTTATTGCATGCGATGTGTGAGTCTGAAGAGGATTTTACAGACTGGTATTGGACACATGGGCTAATTTCAGACTCATGGACTTGAACTGGACTGGGCTGGGATGTTTTCTTAATATACAATTACTCTTTTATATAAAGCTCTTTCTTATACACGAGTGTCTCTGGATTTGTTTTCCTAGTCCACCCAGACTAACACAGACGCAAAGCCTACTCCTTTAAAACTTTTCTCTATAGTGTCATGGTTATTTGTTGGGCTGCTAACTACAAGGTCAGCAGTTCAGAACCAGCAGCCATGCCACAGGAGAAAGATGAGGCTTTCTACTCCCATAAAGAGTCACAGTCCCAGACCCCTGCAGGGACATTTCTATGCTGCCCTGCTGGGTCACTGTGAGTCAGAGACACTCGCTGGCATGAGTTTTGTTTTGTTTTTGAGAAGGGAGAACAAAAAGAAGTCTGAAGGGGCGAGATGAGGGCTGGTGGGTGTGTGGGGGGTGAGGTTTCTGATGGAATTCTCACAGGACAGCCCTTGCTCCCCTCGAACAAGTGGAGGTACAATCCTCTGCACATCTCACCCCACGGAGGCAGGTTTCCTTAAACGCCTTCATCAAGGGCCCCCGGGGCTGTCCTATGGACTCTGAGAAGATCTAGCAAGAAGGTCAGCAGCCGGCCTTGACCTCGCCCTGCCCCACCCGAATGGCCTTCTTCCAGGTCAGCAGGGAGAGCGTCTTCAGCCTCATCTTACCTTCTCCTGCCCATGCAGCCTCCCTGTGCACCCCACCTCCCTGGAAGTTGGCCCCCACACTCTCC